GCCTCCCTTCCTCTGACCCTCCAGCCTCTGGTGCCTCCCTCCTTCTGATCCCTGAGCCTCTGGCGCCTCCCTTCCTCTGACCCTCCAGCCTCTGGCGCCTCCCTTCCTCTGATCCCTGACCCTCTAGCCTCTGGCGCCTCCCTTCCTCTGACCCTCTAGCCTCTGGCGCCTCCCTTCCTCTGACCCTCTAGCCTTTGGCGCCTCCCTTCTTCTGATCCCTGAGCCTCTGGCACCTCCCTTCCTCTGATCCCTGAGCCCCTGGTGCCTCCCTTCTCACCCTCCAGCCTCTGGCGCCTCCCTTCCTCTGATTCCTGAGCCCCTGGTGCCTCCCTTCCTCTGATCCCTGATCCCTGATGCCTCCCTTCCTCTGACCCTCCAGGCTCTGGCGCCTCCCTTCCTCTGACCCTCCAGGCTCTGACGTCCCCCTTCCTCTGATCCCTGAGCCCATGGTGCCTCCCTTCCTCTGATCCCTGAGCCTCTGGCGCCTCCCTTCCTCTCACCCTCCAGGCTCTTGCACCTCCCTTGATCTGATCTCTGAGCCCCTGGCGTCTCCCTTCCTCTGACTCTCCAGCCTCTGGCGCCTCCCTATCTCTGATCACTGACCCCTCGGACACTGTTATTTCACCCACCTCTGTTCTGAATGGAATTGTAGTTTGATTTAGTGCTGCTGTTGCATTCTCCAGAGACAACCTTTTTTGTTTTTTTTAATTCTTTTTCTTTAAACACTTCCATGCTGTTCTGTTTTTCTTCACAGAGATCTTTAATAAATCAGTAAAATATTCTGATGCAGATGAAATAAATTGATTACCATTTCAAAAAGTAATTCAGAGGGCCTCCCAAGTTTTCTCTCCTGATGCTCAAGTTTAGTAATGCTGCATGACGCTTTCTGGGTGTTGAGTTTCTGTTTTCTTTTTTTAAACCAATAATCACTAAATGAAGAGCAGCTTTGGGCTGTATCATTTTTGAGATCTGTTTTGAGATCATGTCACAGGTCTAAATCAGCTCACTTTTTACATTCATATAACTTCTGATCAAACACTGAAACTGTTCAGCTTGTGTCGCACTAAGAAACACAAGTTATCTTTTGGAATGCAGTTGTATATTTTGCACATTTTGGACTCTAGGACCATGCACCTTCCAAAAGCTGAAATCCCATAAAAAAAAGGTTAATTTTTTTGGGGGGTTGAATTCTTCATGACAGAGGCAGGAAATGCTATGTAATGCAAGCGAACAGTTCATTCCCAGTGGTATGATCATAACTCCGATGCACACTAACCAGCAAATGCTTGATTTAATATGAAACATGTGGCTCTGGAAGATAAATCCATTGCTTTCACATTAGGTCCTCAGCAGTTCCATACACTATTACCAGAGAAACTATTTTCAATCCCCATTGTGGCCTAGGACTGTACTGCTGGCTCTCATCTATCAAATGTGGCCTAACTGAGCTGGGGTCAGATGTGTAGGAGAAAGGCAATGATGATAATTGGAGTTTTGGGTAAAGCATAATGGTGTTCATACACAAATGCTTTAAGATGTCCGATTACTACATGAATAACATGTGTTTTCCAGGACTGTAGATTCACACATGCCCAGTGGTCCAGTCAAACTGAGGCTTGTGTAACAAAGGAGAAACTGAGACAATACCGTGCAATGTTTGCTTCTGAAAGGTGGTGATGCTTTATAGAAAGAGAACAGCAGGAGTTGATTCATTTTCTAGAGGACCAAGGCTCTGTTTTCTCAGAGCCTTGCTCTTATGAACTATAGTCAGGAAGCCCTTTCATATAAACACATGCTCGTGTGCTGGTGTGTAACGAATCTATCGCTGGTGTGCAGGGTAGAGACACTGGATCAGTGTTTCTGAATCTTGGGTAAGGTCCTGGGATAAATAATGAATTACATGCCTTCGGGAATCTTAGGTGATGTGGAGGCTGAACCCTCACAGTACTGTTGTCTGGAGGCCAGTATGCTAGTGTTCCACACAGGAAATTTAAGGATTTTAATTATTTACATATTCTTTAATTATGCAAGAGGTGGTAGCTGATAACATACTAAGGTACCTTAACACAGAAGTTTCCTTTTTATGTGTGCGGGACATAACTGTCTACTGCAAGTATCAGAATGTCAGAACATTCTGATGCAGTGAC